CATTAATTGCAAACCCACAAAAAAAAAAAAAAAGCTTGGTTTCAATGGGGAAGAAGAATATGAACAAACTCTCTTCTCTATTCAAAACCGGAGCCGGTGGATTACTCGCCGTTCCTCTCTGTTACAATGCCAAAACTCTCTCGTTTCGAGTCGGTGACGACATGATCAAAACGGTAAACTCCGTCTTCTTCGACCACCACCACAACAACAACAATGGAGATTTATTAGAAACCGAAACTCCCGAGTCATGGTTCACTAACTCGTCCGAGACAGCGACGAGTCACTCAACCGAGTCAGATCAAGACCTCGACGCCGAATCTCTAGAGATGGTCGTACGCGGAGTCGTTAGATCGGAGAGATTATTCTTCGATCCAGGAGTTACAAGCTCGATCGTCATCGAAGAGAAACCAGATCGCAAAACAGATCCGATTGAAGAGATTAGCGTTGCGGTGGCGATGGAATCGGAAGATCCGTACGGCGATTTCCGGCGATCGATGGAGGAGATGGTGAGTAGTCACGGCGAGTTAGCTAAAGATTGGGGAAGTTTGGAATCGATGCTTGCATGGTATTTGAGGATGAATGGGAAGAGGAGTCATGGAGTAATCGTGAGTGCTTTCGTTGATCTACTCTCCGGATTGTCTGATTCCGGCGCCGGAAATACGTCGGCGTCGGTGACGGATTCTGCTCGGTATTCGACGGCTGTATCGTCTTTACCGTCGTCGCCGTTATATTCGTCGTCTTTAGGTCAAACGGAGATTGAAGAAGAAGAGAGACGGAGCTGTTAAAAAGAAAATTGTTTTTAATCTCGCTTTGCTTTATTAGATTAGTGGAGTAATTTTTTTTGGGATTTTGTAAATAGTAGTAACTAGTGGTTAAGAGGAAAAAACCAAATAGTATTTCTAATTATATTTAGTGCGCTCATTAATTTATTGAGTATTATAGTGTGCTCTTTTTGTCATAAGCGAAAGTAACCGCATGAAACTCAGCAAAATCATACCAATAGATTCAGAGAAAATGTGGATAACAGTTCCCAAAAAAAGATATTAAATTTTGACTTTCTTGTTCTGAAAAGATATATATATAGAGAGAGAGAGAGATTATTAGTAGCTTTCTCATTAGCTCATTTGGCAAATACAAGTACTATATTTCTAATAATATTATTGGACCTTCTAAACAAATTTTCATACTGCGATTAAAGTTTCTTATATATAGACAACTTTTTTGAGCTTCTTATATATTCCTATGTTTTTTTTTTCTTTTAGGTATTCATTCTTATTTTGTCTATTTGAGATAATTGTTTTAGAACTTTTCTTACGAGTTACATCGTATTAAATAGATTCAAATATACAACTAATTTTTTTAGTACAAACTATATCTTTCGTGAATGACAGACACACTGTTACAAAATAAATTACTCGTAGTAACGTATGGGTAGAAATACCAATTACATTTTCATGAAAACTATCACTATATATTTATGAAACCAAAACAGTAATCACGTCGAAATAAGACACATGCTATTAAAACCTTGAAAATAACATCGCATGTAGTATTTATACCGGAAAATATCTTGGAAGGTAGAGAAATAGACAAATTTATAGTTGATGTGTAAATAATAAAGAAGATGGTGAATATACGAGGGTGCATTAAAAGAGAATGTTGGTCTATAGTGAGTTTGAAATGTAGAGCAAAGGAGATTTGTAATTTGTATTGTGAAATGAAGGAAGAAGAGAGTAACATGAGAGTTGTGAGCAATGGTGGTGTGGTCAGTGGTCATACACACACACACAGACCCTGTGAATCCCAACATCATAGACCTACTTACTTCTCTCTTATCTCTCTTTTCATTTATTGCTTCTACATTTAATTCTTGGACCAACCTACACGACGACGACGTTTAATGTTTTTATTTTGTTTTACTGTATAATTTTCAGAGTATATAAAACAATATAGGAGTATCAAGTAAAATCAAAACACAAAATTGTCAAAATAAAAATAAAACGTAACATCATCCTACAACTAACAATAGTTTCTTTTACAGAACATTTTTTGTTTGTTTTTACTTACAAAAGCACTAACATTATTTTTTTAAAAATAAAGTATAAAATAGGCCCATGCAATTGTTTCATAAAAATGGGTATACACTCACACAATCCTAACACCTACACGTCAACAACGAGACAAACAAATTGGTCACTTAGATTTGACAGTTAAGGCCCATTTGAGGAAGCTTCTTGGATTTGTCCCCACTTTGGTTTTATATTAGATTCTGGAGAAAACAAACCAAAAAGCTAACCAAATTCGGTATTGGTTCATCGACGGAAACTTTCCATTTGAAATAAATCATTATATCTTCAAAATTCGTTATTGCTTTGGATTCTGATTTCAGAGAAGAAGACCTAACGGTTGAAACTTGAGGCGTAAGGAACAACAAGAGTAAATATAGTACAAAAACCAAATCGATTTTAAGTAGTTCGTCGAATCCAAGTAGTGTTTTTTTTCAAGAACCTAGACACTACTATGTGTTTTTTTTTCCATTTGTGAAGTTCCTTTACTCAATGTGAGTCAGGATCTTTACCAAAACCCATCATAGCATGAGTCGCTAGCATCAAGCCTCTTCGACCCATCTCCATTGCCCGCCCGACTAACGGGAAGCTAACCGTGTCTCTGTTCCTCAGAGGTTTCTTGTCCCACCTATTCATCAACCAACGATTAGATGATACAACAAACTATAGAATCTGTAAAATTTGCGGTTCTGAGAAAAGGATGGACTTATATTACCAGTCTTCGTGTCGAACAATCTTCCCGTTCTCGATATCGAGTTTAATGAGAGAGATCATGTCTATGTTCTTTCCAAGGATCTTGTAGTGTTGTTTGTTGTCAATCAGTATCTGTTTTTGTTTTCCAGAAGTTGTTTCTTTTGTTTAGATAATATGAAAGGAACGAAAAGATGATATGATATTAGTAGTAGTAATGAGGCTAAGGAACAAGGATTATTCTAACCTCTTTCTTCCCCGGCGCGATTTCACTTTCTTGAATATGATATTCAACTATTTTCGACTCGCCAAACACCTATAAGGGAAAAAAAAAATGATTGTGAGAATGGGTCTTTGCATCGAAGTGATGTAACTAGAGTTTATATAACATATTAATATACCTTAGAGAGTGAATAAAATGCTGATTTGATTTGCTTCACCCTGAAAAGGCCAAGTGTGAAAATTGAAGTTTCAGAGTGAGGAAGTCTCTCTCTGCAATTGTAAGCAAGATTATGAATGCACAAAGCAAGAAGATTACATACCCATGAGCATGCGTTAAAGGGTCCTCAAACGTAGCATTTGGTGCATACATGTTGAAATCGTTGGCTGTTGCGCAAGACCCATACCTGAAACAATCGCATTAGAGAATCAGAATCTTGACGTTTTCTATTTGAACAATTTAATCATTGTGGACAGAATCAATTGATTACGCAATAACCAAACGAAATCAAACCGCAACCTATTGAATCTAATCCGGTTCAAACAATCATAAACTGAATCAAACAAAAAGCCACATAAAGACCTGAATGAAAAATCGAAGAAAAATTTGGCTCACAAGTTGAGAATATGAGGCATGATTGTGTCAGCGAATCGTCGCTGTTTCAATTCACAAGCTCCTTTGCCTTCGCATTCCCAAGCCGGATCCGTCGCCGATTCAGTTTTATCTAACGCGAAAAACAAGGATCATTTGGCATCACCAGAACGACATAGATCGAAGAAGAAGAAGATAAAGAGGCTCATCCAAAACAATCAAATAATATTAAGATTCACTGGTTTTGATTAAACGAACCTGGGCTCGGATTATGGGCTTGTTTCCCCATGGATGTTGCAGAGAATTTTCCTGGAGGCGAAAATGGATTTTACGAAATTGAAGCGACGAGGGAAGAAGAAGGACTGATATTGCGAAAATGGAACGTGGTGGATTAGCTTCCACGTGTCACAAGGATCTCCATATGTCACTTGTTTTGACCTTTGATGAAGTGAACTCCCTCTTTTATTTTGGATGCTGCACATATATTAATAAAAAAAAAATTAAGATCGAAAAATACTAGTCGTGAGAG